CAGGGAGCCCGATGCGGGACTCGATCCCAGGACCCTGGGATCATGACCTGAGCTGAAGGCAGTCGCTTAACCAACTGAGCCACCCAGGCGCCCACTAGCCTGGATCTTGAGAGAGGTTTTCCCAAGGATAACTAAGACTTCGGGAGTGTACTGGAGGCATTCTTCTCTTTGCCAGTGGATATCAAAGTACAGGAAAAAGAAACGTATTGAACATTAAGGCTTTGGATCCACAATTCTGTAATTTACAAAGGACTTAATTTACAAATCAGTGGAGTACTGAAGACAGAGATTTCCTATCACCAGTCATGGCAAGCACATTTAAGAATGTACTTATGATGATTTTTGCTGGAGAATTCATAATGGGGCTTTTGGGAAATGGATTCATTATATTGGTTAACTATATTGATTGGATCAGGAGCTGGAAGTTCTTCCTGATTGACTTTATTCTTACCTGCTTAGCTCTTTCCAGAATATTTCTGCTGTGCGTAACAATGCTAGGCATAGGTGTAGACATAATTTGTGAGGAAATATGGTACAATGATAATCAACTGATGACTTTTGAAATCCTCTGGACAGGATCCAATTATTTCCACACAACCTGTACGGCCTGCCTCAGTGTCTTCTACTTTCTCCAGATAGCCAACTTTTCCAATCCCATTTTCTTCTGGATCAAACAGAGAATTCACAGCCTGCTTCTCATTATTGTCCTGGGGGTGGTCTTCTCTTTCTGCTTGTCCTTGCTTTTTAAGGATACAGTATTTAAGAACCTGATCAAAACCAGGGTAAACACTTCAGTGTTATTAATATATAATGTTATATTAGTTTCAGGTGTACAATATAATCGGACATCGAATTTCACAGCAAGAAAATATGATTTATTAACTTCTAGTATAGTCCTGAACATAAAGTTCATCATGCCCTTTGGAGTGTCTCTGGCTTCCTTTGTCCTTTTGATAGATTCTTTATGGAACCACGCCAGGCAGAGGAAGGGCACAGGTTCTGGGGATCTTATCACAAAGGCCCATGCGCAAGCCATGAAGTCTGTGATTTCATTCCTACTCTTCTTCTTTATGTACTACTCGAGCAATGTTATAATATATTTGGCCTATATCAGTCTAGACAGTTTGGTGGCAAAAAAAGTTTGCTAATATGTTAGTATTTTCCTATCCATCTGGCCATCCATTTCTTCTGATTTTATGGAACAGCAAATTGAAACAGCTTCTCTCTGTGTCCTGAGGAAGCTGAGGTGGTGCAGGAATCTAAGGAAACCCACATACCCATAAAACATGCCTGAAATGACTGCGATTTTCTCAAGAATGAAGATCATGAATAGAACTCCGTGTACATTTCTTTCATTTCTCTCAACTTCTTTTATTCTGTTCTGTGGTAGGTCACTGAAACTTACTGGAAATATCTGTCTAGAATAAGTTAAAAGAAAAATATTTTGCTGTGTTTCCATCAGAATAATGATGGTATAATTAATAGTAAAATTAGAACGTATCACCAAGACAATGGGAATTTGATGAGATACAAAAATAAGACTTAGGAAGATAGAAATTTACTTATGGCTAGATTACAACTGTAAAAAATTAAGTGTAGCAAGTCTCAGACACAGAAAAACCCCAGAAATCATGAAAAGAATATTTAAAAATTCTACCTGTGGCTGATGGCTAACCATGACTTAAAATTGTATTTGGGAAAGAATGAACATGGAATGAACTGGTATGACAAATTTTTCGCTACCATCCAGAATATGTGCCTAGAAGTCCAGTTGCAGAGCCCATGAGAACCCTACTATTTCTTAAACATATGCCAAAGGTTGTCTCAAATAAATAAATGAATAAGAGAGAAAAACACATGACTTAGAAAATACAAGGTATGCTCACTGCAGCAGCACATATACTAAAAATTGGGATGATACAGAGATTAGCTTGGCCCTGCGCAAGGATGACATGCAAATTTGTGAAGCATTCCATATGTTTTTAACTTCTTTCATTTGTACCATTCCTTCAAATAAAGTAATTTGGTTCCCCCCCCCCAAAAAATACAAGGCTCAAAGTATAAGGTACAGTAGAGGTTATTTTGTGGGTAAAAAATACAGAAAATACAATGCAGAATAGTTTTACATTTTTCTCATTCCTCAGGTATGGTGCCAATTTTGGTACTAAGTATTTGACTTTTTCTTATTAACTCATCAGATCCCTTTATGAATAATGAATATTATCTCTTCGTGTATTTCAAATGTTGCAAATACTTTCCAATAAATTATTTATTTTTAAAAGTTTTACAAATGGTGGGGCGCCTGGGTGGCTCAGTCGTTAAGCGTCTGCCTTCGGCTCAGGTCATGATCCCAGGGTCCTGGGATCGAGCCCCGCAT